ATCATCCAATCCTCCATGAGAAATCAGATAAACTAAAGGCTTATAACAGAGGTTCTTTCTGAGAAACCCCAGATTAAACTTCATCTTCAAAGAAGTCTATTTGCAAGTTTAGCAATATCAGTGTTTCTCCATCTGAGACACTGTGATTGAACAGGGGGCAGTCCTTGGCTCCTGACACCAACCCCCTCCACAGTAAGAAATTGATTGTTGCTGGTCCTGATAATCAGCCAGCCTGTCATTTCAGGTTCCTCAAAGCCAGGCAGGTGGCATTTTATTCTTGGGCCTTTGGGTAGAGACAGGGTTAGTTAAGGAGAGCATTTGCACAGCGCACAGTACCGGGAAGTCGTTAATTGCTTGTATGGACCAACGTCGCCGGGCAGAGCGAGGAGACATCTGTGTGTGAAAACGTTACACCCAGGAGGAGGAAAGAAAAACACCAAGAAAATTAAAAGGGAAAAAATAGAGAATAAAATGAAACTGTGACTGGAACGACTGTCAATTCTGACCCTAAGCACAACAGTATTTGAATTTCCTCATCTCCTCCCAGCCCACCCGACTCCAAACGTAGCTTCTGACACTGAACATTTGACAGCTCTGACAAAGGAACATTTGAGGTTCCTAGTCCTCAAGACTGAGACCACAGTGCAAGTGGGGAAAGACAGACAGGCGGTTCTCTTCTCTTTCCCCTTTAGGGGAGAGGAGGGTCCTAAAAAGGAAGAAGCTCTTCAATACATTCAACCTCAATTGTTTTCTTTTTTGGTGTGTGGTTGTGAGTTGATGGGGACGTTAGAAGTCTCGAGCTTGGGACTGCGGTACTATTTTCAGAGTGGAGCTATTTCTAGAATGGGAAACAGGAGAGCTGTGAAGAGATAAAGGGAAAAGAGGGAGCTAGAGTGGAGGAGGTTTAGCCTTGAGGGCATGCCTGCTACCAACATGAGCATCTGAGGTATGTAACACCAACTATGGAAATGAGAAATGACTCTATTAACTTCAAGGCCTCCCCAGTTACTTACATTCGGGCTATTTTAATGGGATACAATGAAGCAAATGGGAGGGTACAAAAATGTTAAATGTTTATAAGATAATGCCTGATGCGTATACGAAATTCTGGGCCTTCTGAGTTAGACTAGGAATAACAATATTTCAGATTTATCTATCAACTATTGATAGCTGGACTCCTAGCATAAGACCTGGACTGTGAACCACACGGTCAGTGGTTCAAACCCACCAGCTGCTCCTTGGAAACCCTATCTATACAGGGTTGTTAGGAGTTGGAATAGACCTGATAGCACTTAACAACAACAGCTGGCTGAGTGACCAAAATTGAACATTGCCTCCTCCCAGTGGTTGCTAATTGCCTAAGGAATTTTTAAACTCTCCCATATTTTTTAATTTCTAGGCACGAACCTTGAAATTTCACCTAGAGAACATTTGAGTGACTGTAACAATATACCTTAAATTGGCCAGGGGAAAACCATAAACACAACAAGAGAACCAATCAGAATCCCCAAATGGCTCTCTAGTTTACATAATCTCAAAAATAGAAATGTTTTTACTGAAAATGATGAGAAATTCAGTAAAAGGAAATAGCATCTTTAAAAAAGTAGAAGTGATAACCACATGTGAAACTAGACACCTGGATGATTTGAAAATATTCCTGGAGGGACCAAGCCGTGCTAACCTCCGAGAGAAGATGAGGTGGCCCACATAGGCTTTCGAGTTCATTTCTCTCATCTCCCTCGCTGCCCTGTATAAATAGGACGGATATACACAAGCAACTAGGAGAAATAATTATTTCAAATTCATCACAAAATGAATGACTTATTCATTTTACAGTCTTAATCTATTTGTTGGAACCATGCAAAACTTTTTTTTTAAGTCAAAACTGGGCAAATACCAGCAATTTCACATAATTTAATGTAACTGTTAGCATGTGTTATCAGGTAAAATGGGCTCCCCTTCCAGAAACTCTGGTGTTTCAGTGAAATTCTATTTCTTGACTTGTGTGATTATCAACTTGCTGAATTATATACATTTACAATGATTTGTGAACTTTTCTGTATGCATGCTCTACACCAAAAGTTTCCTATAAAATCATAATTTTAAAAAAAGTGCCCCCCATTTTATTTGGACATTGTTTGAAGAAAAAGTTCACTGATTGTGTGATACTAGGGGATTTTGCTCACAGACCCTCTTCTTTTTCCATAGAGAAGCAGCACACTAGTGGCAAACTGAAGTATCACACTCCTTTTGATTGTTGTCGTTAGGAGCCATCGAGTTGGTACTGACTCATAGCAACCATATGCACAGCAGAACGAAATGCTGCCCAATCCTGGGCCAACCTCACTATCGTTGCCACGCTTGAGCCCACTGATGCTGCCACTTGGCCAATCCATCTTGCTGAGGGTCTTCCTCCTTTTCTCTGACCCTCTACCCTACCGAACATGATATCCTTCTCCAGTGACTTGTTCCTCCTGACAATATGTCTGAAGTATGAGAGATGAAGTTTGGTCGTCCTGGCCTCCAAGGAGCACTCTGGCTGCACTTCTTCCAACACAGATGTTTGTTCTTTTGGCAGTCCACGGCACTTTCAATATTCTCTTCCAAGACCATAACTCAAAGGCATCAATTCTTCTGCAGTCTTCCTTATTCACTGTCCAGCTTTCTCATGCATATAAGGTTATTGAAAACACCATGGCTTGGGTCAGGCACACCTTAGTCTTCAAGCTGACATCTTTGCTCTTCAACACTTTAAAAAGGTCTCGTGCAGCAGATTTGCCTAATTCAATACGTCGTTTGATTTCTT